TTAGTAATCGTGAATGATTTTTTCCACTGCTCTCCTGGAAACTGTAACTGTTCCGCCTGCGTGTCGGAGTGCAATCATCTTCGTCTTATAAATGATGAACCTTCGACGGATTTTGCAAATGCTCTTCCAGCCTCTACAGCTTCGATAACAACTTCTGCTCTTCTTTCTTTAAGATCTTTTATCGCCTGTCCGCAATGCTTTGCATGTTCGGACCTGATTTAGCGGTTGGCTGTGGTTAGTGCGATACCATGCCGGCATATTAGCCGATTGTTTCTGTGAAGAGACGTCTCTTGGTGCTGCTCGAACTCTCAGCTTTCATAGCGCTAATGTAAATATGTTAAATGAGCCGACCGTATTCTTCGTTTTTTGAATTTAGCGGCTTTTTCTCTATTCCGCAAGTAATGAAGTCTTGCACGAAGGAGACGAATAGACAAAACCTTCGATTTACTATGATGCGGTCTATTTCGTTATGGTACTCTCAATTGGGAGGCTCCCACGTTCAGCGTTAAGAGTGGGGTGTGTGGAATTGCGAGTTACCATGAATATCTCGGTTACTCGTTCCATTCTAATCTATGGGTTCCCAATGTGACGTTCTTAAAATGTTCTTCTGGATCCAATCTTAAAAGTCTCCGATGATGACCTTGAAGAATGTGCGGTCGCTGTAAAACTTCTCCAAGTCCACATGCCTTTGACTTCGTCTTCGTTACAGCTTGATATCGATGCATAGACGTCGAAGATTGTCAATGCCGATACTGATCCAATCTCTTCAGCCGTAAACGTCCGATTCGGTTGTTCGTTGTTCGAATGAATCGATGTTCATGCCAAACTCGTGTTGTCGAGAATGCCCACGCAGCTAACTCCTCTACTGTCTCGTATTCCGAGAAACAGTTATTTTCCAGTGCCACAGACAGCGTTGAGTGGATAACGACTTCTTTGCTTAACCAGTTCGATGACGTCATAGCTTATTCTTTCTTGCCTGTATAATCAAGTACTCTACCGAGCACTCAGATGCAAGCGTGCGTACATTGTAGGTACAGATCCTCACCTTAGTAGCCCTTTGCGATTTAGGCAGCCTAGGCTGGCCCTAAGATTTTACCAGCCTTTCCATACTCATCCTACCTAACGCTGCCATACCACGGGCTCTTTCGAGGTCAGGAGCAAGAGGCCCAATTACTTTAATGTTTTACTTAGCTTCAGATACCCAGGTATAGTTTGCTGACCTCTGAACGTGAGAGCTGGGAATACTCAGGTGTAGCCTGCCATTCTCTCCTAGAGTAGATGGACTATATTTGTTGGTGGAAACTCCTAACCGCCTCCCTTATACTTCCCTGTTACTCGATTGCACGTTTTTCGCCGAAATGACTCGTAGGATACAATGCGCATAAACGAGAACACATCAAAGCACGCATGCATGAAGACGTCCTCGTATATGCAGAAGATATGTGCCAAATCAGCGCTGTAAAAATGGAGAGCCCATCCTTTGGGTCCACCTGCGTCTCAGGAAAATATACGGTCGCTTTTCGTCCACGATTAATCCTCTATTCACCACCTGGACACACGCCACGCTGCCTCACCACTAACCGGCATGAGATCCGTCTATGAGAGAGATCAGTGGACGTTTTCCACACATCAAACTATCAGTGTTACTATGGCCTTAAACATATTACGAGTTTCTATTGTTTTTGAGCGTTACAACTACTTCCAATAAAAATCAGTGCAAATGACTTACGATAGAACACGAGCATCAGTGATGCTGATATGAAGAACAGCAGACTAGAGACTGCGAGTGCAACCGTATAACTCAGTAGACGACTTGTACTGTCATCGATATAGTGTTCATCCAATTTCGAAAGCCTCTCAATCCAATTGTAGAGCAGATCCCGATGAAGCTCCTATAACATTCCAAACATCGTTAGATCACTCACTTTCAGAAAGTGCCAACAATTGTCCAGGTGAGAGTAGTGCAAGTAACTCGGACGACGAAGAGGTTACTCTAAAGAAAGGTGCTATCTAAAGTACTATTGATAATCGAGTCTCTTGTAAAGTATCAATTCGTTCGTTCTGCGTATCAAAGCTGCTCAATGGGATGTGCTTTCTCAAGGGTGGGTGAGGTCATGAAAAGCACTTCTCGTAAAAGGCTAATAATTTTTACTATTTTTAGTGTAAAGGTAGCCACGATTGGCCCTCCGGGCTGTACCGTGCCATAGGTCTAGGCTATCAAGCAAGGCTTTCGAATCCAAATGTCGTGCTTGCTTTCATCCCGAATACCTTTGTTGAAGTGTTCAAAACCGTTGATTTGCTTTGGATCACAGTTCAGTACCAAGGAACACTCGCCTGACCAGGGTATGAGCCATGATAAAAAAAAGAAGAAAAAAAGGATCTGTAGGTTCAGGGAAATAAAAGTCCTGTTGCTGCGTCGTAGAAGAAATCGTTTCCTGTCTTCCATTCTGACGATTCTAGTTCTTCTTGATACACTTGTACTCCCAACGATTTACCGCCTCATCGTGGCTGGGAGGTGTTTCTGGGTGTCGGACTGCGATTTACAGCGGGGAATTCATTCTTTCAGTGGGGTACCCTAGGTCAAGAAGGAGTCTGGCGTTTTCATCAGGAAGCCTAGCTAAGAGTAAACCAATACCAGGATCCACCACCGTCCTGGTATCAAAGTCGCATGGTGGCAAATCTCCCTCTGATCCACAAGGGCTGTGACTACCTGTCGTGGTGACGACCTGGGGCAGACTTTGGCCAGGCTGTCCTCGGGATTCCAGGGAACCACAATGGCTTAACCAGCAACTCTCCGAAAATGGTGACTGTGCTGGGGCCCGCACAACTAGTGAGGACGGGCCGTTCAAGTATGAAGTATCAAGTACACTTCAGTGTTAATTGAACATTTGTGAGCCTTTTAAGGCTAATATTGTCATGAATGTGTCGAAATGCAAAATATATGCCGGAATCTATTACCTCCCAGATATGAGAACGGGTGATTTTCACCATTAGCGACCGCTCAGCGTTGTGACATAAAGTGGAATAACCTGATAAGCCTATATGAATTTTCTCAAAATTCACTTACAATCAATGTTAACGGAAAGTGGCAAAAAGTTTAACCGGTATTATTATTGAATATGGGAGGGGAAATGTTGGTCCTTAGCGTTGTGAGAGCGAACAGCACCCAGCATGTTAGTGAGAAAACAAAATAACACCATCAGTTTGCATCCAAACCACATACAAGCCTGATTACTTCTGCAGATCGCGGTTGCGGGATCCGAAACGAATAGAAAGAGTCCTGGGACCCAGACGAAATGCAAATATGGATCGCTTTAGTAAGGAGGAAAATAATCGTAATAGTATCACGGTTGCCAATGTGGCAGTTTTGAGCGCAACAGCTGTTTTGTGAGTGAAACACTGAATCCTAGGAAAGATAATGCATCTGACAAATAGTTTAGGTTAAAACAATGAAGACGATATGACTCATATCGTGCCCAGTATGTCACTGCTGTGTACTTGTTCTGGTTCATCATCAAGATAAGAATCAATAACTCGTGTTTGGCAATTTGTTACGAACGCTCCCACTGCACGAGGAAGATAGCTAGACATATTGGTGGCCACCTTCAAGTGACCCTAATTCGATTTCGTTTTGATCTGTAACGCACAAAGCAATCTGTCAGTTTTGTTATGTCGAAAACAATGTAACTTCAAGTTCATAACTTCCCAATAGAAAGTCACGTTTTAAGTAGGCTACATTACGAGCAGGTGTTGGACAGTGTACCTCGACGGTTCATGCGCGTTCCCAATGAATTCGGTCCCATCCTATATTGGGCATGCTGGAGCTGGACCACATTGATCGGCTGACCTGTGCCAATCTGGGACAGCTATGAAACTCAGACCTGTCAGAATGCAATCAAATACTTTATTGCGGATATTTTCATGTTTTTCGAGAAAATGACAACAAAATTGGTGCTGATTCATAGACAATTCATAATGGCTATTTAGAAGTAAGGTTGAAGACCACCGCTTTTCATCTCTACAGATTGCGAATCGCATCTCTAATATTACGACACGCCCGTCAACGGTACTAGAACAAGCTGTTAGAAGAAAGCACAACAACTAGGACAACAATAAGAATTTTGATTGTTTCCCAGCACGTTAACTCAAACGAAGATCAATACGGAGCATGATAGACAAGTGGCTGAAAGAAAGCAAAAAGACAGTAAACCACAGACCGATACATCAGAAAATGACATCGTATCTTGCAGCAGATACCATGGTCACAAAGAATCTGCGAGGAAACCGCGTAAATCTCGTAATCCTATCGAGCGCCAGTGTTGCACTCGCACAAGGGACCATGCTCATAGTTCCACATTCTTTAACTTCATTATTTTTTGTAGAAGAGTAACCAGGGAGGCTCACTAAACTCTTGTTTGATAACTGGGCATGTTGACATACTCGTTACAGACGACACCTTATCTTCATCCTTATCTAATTATTTGGGTCGAATCGAAGCGGCATTTGAGTGTTTGCGATAAAAACTAGCGTAAGTTCTTCTCTCAGTGATAACAGTGTCAAGTAATTCCTATGCCTTTATGAAGGGATATATGAATTAACGTCCCTCTCGAAGAGTCAAACATTTATTTGACGACTTTAAACACGAACAAACAACAACAGAGAGGCTTATAAGACATTAAGGCATCTTAACGGATCACATCTTAGTACTGAAAATCACATTCGAAATACAGGTTCTGGACCAATCTGAATCACTCAAAGAACACCGTTCATATAGCAAGTCTTAACAGGAAAAGTTCTCTAAACAGTTCTAAACTGATAGCTTCTTCAAGAAAATAACTTGCCCATGAAATTTATCACAATTTGCTTGTATCACATCGAAATAACAACCATTAGTTGATAAGTGAAAGAATATAAAACAGTCTTAGAAACTGCTATAAAACATCTGCAAGAAGGGAATTACTGACGGAGAACTATCGAAAAACAACAGCTATGGTCGCTCATTATGTCATTCTCAGTTGATAATCGCCGTTCTGCGTCACGTAACGTACCCAAGGCATCGCTTGATATCCACTTTTCTCGATAATTTTCAAATAACGTACCTAAAAGCATTGTTAGTAAAGGAAAATGTTATGCGACACAAGTAATAGCAAATGAAAAGTTTGCTAGAAAGACAAAGGATAAAGCTGTCGGCGTTTGATCAATCCTTGAGGAATGCGCCATGCATTCGACTTTATTAAACATCGTTTGGAGGTGATCGAATGCATATCTGGCCTGTACAATGACTCGCGATGGCCCACTGATGTATCAAGCCAATGCTGCCATTCTCCCAGACAAGTCTGGTACCAATCCCGGTGAGATCGAAGGTGGACCAGAGGCGCCGGAATCGACCCCATGTTTATTGCAGGGCGTCTCCGATCACTGCGCCACACGCGTCCATAGAAGTATGCTAGACTTAGAAAATTCGGGAACTTTAAATTCGAAAAAAGCTGTTTAGAAATTGAGACTACAGCAAGAAAGACATAAAAACGGTGTACCTGGAGACCACTTGTAGTGTAATAAGGAATTTCGAATTTCACTTGAATCGGTGGCTTGCCTTCTACCTCTTCGCTCACAATAGAAGGCAGTGAGAAATGTGCACGCATCAGATATTCACGTCCACCTTGATTGTTGATGAATGTATTTTGATATGATTTAGTAAAGACAGACGAAAAGTTAGAAAGCTGATTAGCAACGTTGTGACCTCTACTGGAGTTATTTGTAAGAAAACACTCTAGTGTTTATGATCTCTACAGAGGTCATATTCTTTTCGTTATAAAATCATAGCCGTCGCATGAAATGGTTAGTTTTTAAGATACAAAAATAAACTCAACATACGCTACAAAACACTCCTACATACTTGCTGACAGCAACGTCTTTTCGTGATAGATTACAACAACACTTAGTAAGTAGCTGCACACGTACCTTTTATACCCACGCAGCGATAGATGTCATGTTCTCAACCCCTCAACTCTTCAGAATATCGAAATAGTATAGCCTACCGATGTATAAATTCAGCACTTTTACCGTGCTAGACAAGTCTGACATCAATCACTGCCTATACTAAAGAGATACAGAACGGATTGATTAGCCTACCGTACGGGATTAAACTAGTGATTATGTGTGACGGGACACCACTAACTAATATGTTACATGTGCCTTATTTTCTCATTCTTTAGTTACAAGCAATGCTAAAGCCATAAGAACCGTAGGTCACTGTGTCGAATATATTGAAAAAATCGAAGAATGTTTTCTTCTGAGATACTAACCTGGGAAACTGCGAATTGTCCACACAAAGGCATTCAGCTCAGGCACGTATTTCACTGATCCTACGCTTGTCTTGAATTTCGGCGAATCTGCATCAGATGGTACTGGGATAACTACTTCGACATGGTTGGCTATTGACTGTCGTTTGAACTGAGATTTCGCCTAAATACATGGACCTATAGGATACATAGAAAAACAACAACCTAAGATAATGAAATCTGACATTGCACACTCTATAGGAAACCATTCTGTATTACTGAAACGTCATGTCGCCGCATACAAATCGCTTCTAACACTTATTATAGATGTGGATAGAATCTACCACCAATACCAGGATCCACCACTGTCCTGGTATCAAACTAGTCCCATGGTAGCAAATCTCCCGCTTATCCACAAAGGCGGAGACTGCCTGTGGTGGTGACGACTTGGGGCAGGCTTTGGCTAGGCTGTCCTCGGGACTACAGTGAAACACAATGGCTAGACCATTGAAACTCCGAAAGAACGGAAATTATGCTGGGGCCCACACAACCAGCGAAGACGGGCCATCCATGTATCCAAGTAAAAAAGTGGATAGAATTCCAGCAATTCGCAATATTTTCGAAATTCACTTGAGCATAATCACTTCCAAGCATATGAAAAGCATGCAAACATGAAAAACTGCAATTTCTCTCAGAAATATGAATCATTGCAACCACAAAAAAAATAGGCACACATATCTAAAATTACTATGTCAACCTGTCACCTGACCAAAGAAGGAGAATATTCGCCTGTAATTCAAAAAAATGCTTATTGGGATCAGACCGAAATTGAAGCAGCAAGACTGTACCTTAACCATGTATTCCACACGAGAGTGCGTGTGCTTCTCCACAACTGCTTCAACCCAAATTAATGGTTTCACCTAAACAACAGCTATTACAAGACATCGAAGCAATAGTTCTTAAAGGAATTTACACAAAAGTTGCACTGGAAAGCTGTATGAATACTTATGATGGGAAAAAGACCGAAAAAAGGTACTGTATTAATGAGGGAGACAGAGAGAGAGGGAGAGAGAGAGAGAGGAGTCTTCAACAATGCTTGTAATGATTGTAAGACATCCAGCTTATTGAGCTCCTCGAAATTCTATAAAATATCGGCTAATAAATGTACGGTACTTTCAGAAATTCCATAAAGCAGAAACAAGATCGAGAACAGACCTGAGTTGTAAGACGATAGCTCATCAGTTCAAATTCCCCATCTGGTGGAATGAATGAAATCGTGCGTTCGGCTTCAAAGCGCGACAGTCTGACACATTGGTGAAATTTCACGTCTTCTAGTTCGACGCCTTTGGAACTGCGGTTAGCTACAAATAGAATGCGATAAACGAGCCAAAGAACGGAGGAAGACCTGGTTGCCGCGAAGGTACCTCCACTTTTCAAAAAATTCAGAGCAAAAAAAGGGACAAAATGGGAAGACGCACTCTTCGTAAGACATCAAAAAACCACAAATATGAAAGAATAGTGCTTTCACACTATTACCTCGTGAGCCAGCGGATGCTTGTTCAAAAATGACCTTATCGTTAAGACCGAGTCGCAACTCCGGCATTCCGCTCAGAACTACTTTCATTCGAATCGAACCAATGATTTCACTACGAAGTACGGTGCCCGAAGCATTAGCCTTCAACGAAATATTTTATCAACACATTCATCACGACGTCGATTATATGATAACTATAGTACTTGATAAACTGTGAATCAAACAGACTTACGTGAAAGACTTCACGGCATTGCCCTAAAGGTTTATAATTCTTCCAGAATATTACTGTTCCTAGATCTGTTCGAAAGTTGAATATTTAAAACATGGCCCATTTTTTAAAAAATGTGATGAAAGCAAGACGATATACAGATTAACCATGCGTGCGTATCAGTAGTACGTATTGCTGAACGATACTCCGCACTTCGCTCCTCGAAATGTAAGCCTTAGAAAGAAATGGTGAAAAAAATTCTACACTCTACCCACTAAGCGATTTATATTGGCAGAATAAGACATATATCAGGTCGAAAAAAATTCCGAAATTTAATAGGGTTTCACTTCACCTACCGCCCAACGGTTTACCGCCTCGTCGTGGCTGGGAGGTGTTCCTGAGGTCGGCCTGCGATGTAGAGCGGGAGGACACCTCTGATTCTTAAGAGCGGCGAATGCTTGTGGTAGTGACGACCTGGGGCAGACTTTTGCCAGGATGAACTCAGGACTCCAGGTAAACACAATGGCTACATCAGCACAACTCCAAAAAGTAGAAATTATGCTGGGTTCCGCACAAACAGTGAAGACGGGCCATTCAAGTATCCATGCAACTCCATCTGATGAAGTTCGTTTATTTAGACGTGTGTTTTATATTAAAAGTAGTCCAGTGATTTTTCATTTTCATGCATTGAAACTAACACACTTTGTCGCGAATCTATTAAACAGCACTGTTTCGATAGTTCTCTAGCGCTGGTATGAGTGTCGATAGCAAGGTCATGTTTGGTATGCTTTCAATTTGACAACAACCATTTCCTCAAATATGTTAAATTCACAAAATTCAAAACTAAAACTCAAGTGAAACATACCAACATGTTAACACTCTCAATTACGTCCAAGAAAACCTCGTTCTTCCTATACTTAATGCCATCTGACCGCCATGACACAGCGTTTGTGACTGCCATCGGGGGACGCGGAGCGATTTCGAGGCGGTGTCCCTCCTGCGTGATGTATCTGATGAGGAAATGATTGGAAGGAATCTCAAAACAACAATCACATTCCTGCTATAATTTCTGCAAATGAACCTACTCCTGCAGTATTCGACTCTCTGTTGTCTGTGGATAGCCAAAGTCCATCATTTCGTCGAACAGCTCGTAAATCACAACAAAATTATCTCGGACCGATTCCTCCTCCAAATCTTTGAAATATTCGCAAAACACCTAGAAGGCAGATATAGAATGCAACAGAATATTCGAACTGATTACGAAGAACGATAGGAAGATAAAGAAGACAGGAAAATTACCTCTACACATTTGTAAAGATACGAAAGTACCAACGCAGCGTTCATGTTCTTCTTCGATATGCTCACGACTAAAAAAGGATGAAAAGGTGTGTAACGTAACAAAAAAACCGTGTTAAGAGAAAATGGAACTTACAAGTAAGTTTTACTTACGATAGAGATTCATGTGCTTAATAAATGTGTAGCTTATTTCGCCAGAGTGAAACACTGGAGAGTGAAGACCTTCATCTTCTTTCTCCACGAGGAGTGGCATGAACCGCTCGATGCACGACATCTCCACATCTCCTCGGTAATTTCTTGACACGATAACCTGACATATCCGCACTATTTTAAGAAGTAGTGGAACTTTTCATTCCAAAAGGAACAAACCACTACTAAACAAAGTGTAGGATAAGGGGTTATGAAATCAATCAAACCAGAAACACTGAATCAAGCCACACACGCTTCCGCAACTCTATCATTCGAAGGCTTTCAGTACAGAAATTCCAAACCACAAATTTTGACTTCACACAGACGATGTTACACAAATCTCTTCACGTACAAAATAATGTGATTGCAGATCAAGATTTTACTACTTCCCTTACCATCGAAATGTCTCAGAAAACAAAACTCACATTTCCTTTGAGATCGAGGATAAAGATGGCCGAGCAAGACATTCTGCAGTGAACAGAAGTCCAGCTTGCTGCGTTGCCGCAATCTGTAATCACAACAAGTAACTGTGTTCCACTCCATTCGAAAGCATACGAAGCAAACGTGGCAATCTCGTAGAGAGGAGGAAAACGATTACAATCGGATGTGATCAATAAAGAACTGTATGTAAGCTACCGACTCACACGTGTGAAACAAAAAGGCAAACAGATCTGAGCAATATATCTGTTTACGGATAGATTTGTCGACCATGATATCTAAACGGCAACTGGTCTCTCACTTTCAAGAGATTGATGGAACAGAGCAAAGGATGTATTAAACCTCAAATAAACGAGGATTCTGTTCTTACTTAACCAACGAGAAAAAAACTCGACACGATCAATATAAAATGGAAAATTTAAAAAAAAATATTTTCACCCGTAACAGCACGGCTCTGAGGAAGGCGAAATCGCTGAAACCTCAACCATCGAGCTACAACAACAACAACAGCAGCGGCAACAACAATGACGACAACGGAAACAACGACAATATCGACAACAACGACAACGACAATTTATATCAACCTCGCAGCAGCTCAACGCTATCAGTTCATAAGATCATATAAATAAAAACGAATAAATCTACATGTCCTCATATCCATGCACTTTTCTCCGTTGTCATATTCTGTACAGCAGCTAGCACACTATAGGCTACCACTGAAACAATCCCGAATATGTAGAAACAACCTGGTGAGAGTCGAAAACTCGAACAAAAAATCTTTCTGAGTGACAAATTCTGCTCAACACACCAACCATGTGAATTAATGGCAATGTCTGGGAATAGATTTCGGACAATACGCACTCCTTTCAATGCATTTCCTTCAAGACTGCTTCTTACCCTGCGATGCCTTCCCAACTGAGTCAGTAACTTCCATGTCATAGCTTTACTCAGCGTAGTCGGTGAGAAGCGATTTTCTACACAACGCAGTTTACAAGAAAAAACTGTTCTAGAATGAGTAGCTTCTGAGTCCCCCACTGCAAGCGGGAAATTAGATGTAGACCCATGTTTCAACAATCAGTTAGTAAAGTTGACGTATTCGGTAACTGGTAAGACGAGTTTCCATGTTGAATGGTAAAGACCGTTAACCATCATCATCCGTTACTGCAGAACGGACCGAGTTATCCTTTCTGGTCAATCCAACTGACACAGTGGAGTAATCCGCGTTACAACGAGATGTCCCCCGACCAGCAATGCGGAGTGGCTCCGTAGCTTTAGCAATGCAGTAACCTTACAGTAGATTAGTTTACAGCTTCGTTAGCTGTTGAGATGGGATCGGACAACGGTTAGGCGTTCTGAATTGTGAAATGCAAACCTTCTTCACTTGTTTCAGGTAAGATACAGAACAAGGTGGACGATCTTAAAATCGAAAATAGAAAGAGGAAAGAATCAAGTGACACATAACATTGACTTTTTAGCATATAATAACTATATAGATGCGAGGCCCTTGGAAGCCAGTATGCGAAGATAGAAGGGAACCACTGCACCATGAAACTTTCTCATTAGAAGCAGTCTTTGTGCTAATGAAAAAGTACGAAGCGCAACGAATCAGCACAGCACTCATGCATCAACGTGTTTGCACAGCACAGACTAAGCCTCGAAACCTCACATGAGCACGATCAGCTCAACGTATTTGTCTCGTGAACGCTCTTCCTGTGAACCACAAAGTGAAGAAGGTAGCTCTGCTCAGAAAACACCTTGTACAACATCTCGGTAAGGGAAGCTATCGATTGAAGACGAAAAGCAAAGCCGAAGATATCACAGAAAAACAGCTGCGAAGGAACTGCATTGAGGTCAATGCACACCGTCGCGGATGCTCTGCAAACGTAAAAGCTCAATCAAAAAAAATCCACTCTAATATACCACAGTATACCACAAGAAAGTTTCCACCAAAAAGAGAACGATACAGACTACCTAAGTGCTATACTACATTACTTCAGTTTTGCAAACCCAAATAAAATTTGCAGATGTAAATGCTGATATTCGTGTGAACATGATTGTAAGGACCACCCTGACTGATTCTGGGAACGGTGGCGAATCGAAATAAGCACAAACAATAGTTTTAAGACACAATAGCCCTCCCTCAATGCACCACAACGTTGAATTCGTAGATGATAGTTTCTTAACATCACTAGCGCTCAGAGGCTAAATTCCCACTTCACCCTAAATCGGTAAGCGATAGGACGTACTCATGCTGGAGCGAGAGCGGAGATTAAAACGTTATATTTGGAAAAATTAGACCTAAATGGAATTTAATCCACGTCACTTCAAAGAGTACCCCACCAGGCAGACCTCATTAAAAATGCAAGCACATTCAACCAACACAGCTATATTCGGAGTAAAAGCTAAAATCTCCCAGCGTTGATCAAACCCTGAGGGATGCGCCATGCATTCAACTTCATTAAGGATCGCTGAAGGTCATTGAATGCATATCTGGCCTGTGCAATGACTCGCGGGTGGTCTACCGATGTATCGAGCCAGTTCTTCTATCCTCCAGATAAGTCTGCTACTAATCTACCGACCTCCAATGGATGGAGAGCTTGGTGGCTCTGAGGCGCGAGGGTCAACCACGTGTGTTGCAGGGCGCATCCGACCACTGCGCTACACGCGTCCTATATTTGGAGTAAGAGGCACGACTCATCTGACTTTTCACATAGTGATCAAGTAGGACTAGAACCGGAACTTCAGGAGTGATCCATACAGACTTGCTAAGATCGATGCAAGCTCTTCCTCGTCATCGGTTCATACAAACAGTCAAAGCTTTCATAATTACTATAATGCTGAGATATTTGCAAACTCCGGACCGCAGGTGTCTGCGGTAAGGAACGAACGCGCTATTGTGCTTTCCGGGGACTAATGCGCTCACCACAACACCATGCGGGGGGTCCTTCGTTTCGCCTATCTCTCAGCTAGTTCTATCAAACTTCTGCCATCAGTAATCACCCATCAATAATAGGTAGTAAATAAAAAGGTTAAGATTGTGATTATAACTATAGCCTCGGCTTAACTGGGTTCAATGCCGATTTAGACTCCCCAGATCAATCCCACTGACGGGACACTTGTAGTCCGGAGTTTTGCAAATATCTCAGCACTACAGAAGTTATATTTCGCAAACTGCCATTAAAAAGAATAGGCAGTAAATAGAAAGGTTAAGATTTTCATAATTAATTACTCGCAAATATTTTTTCGGCGACGTAGAAGATCTTTTACACTAAAAAATTGAAGCCAAACGGAAACCCACTCGAGTTAAAAAGATATGTGGCGAATGGAACTCTTCTAGTTACGCACACGACAACAAAGACTACCTTTATTTATGGAACATAGGATTACAAACAGATAAGCCCGCTTCCGTATTGGAACAACCAAATCGGCAAGACTATGGAAACACTTCTAAATATAGAGACACATTTTATAACAATGAAGAAATGTCGATTACAAGATATCAAACAGACAACAGAAAAGTTTAACACAGAACAACAACAACATGAAGGATCGCAGTGGCAACAGTGAATATCACTTAGTACCTGTAATGCTCAGGCTTGAAGGGGCCATCCTTAGGAATACCAAGGTAAGCAGCCTGGTCATCAGTGAGCTTGGTTAGCTTAACACCGAGTTTCTCAAGGTGCAGTGCAGCCACCTCTTCATCAAGACTTTTGGGCAAGACATAGAGTCCAACTTTGTATTCTTTGGGCGTACCATGCTTAGTCCAGAGCTCTATCTGTGCCAATACTTGGTTGGTAAATGAATTCGACATCACGAATGATGGATGACCAGTGGCACAGCCAAGGTTAACTAGACGACCTTCAGCTAGTAAAATAATATGACGACCATTTTTCAGCAAGTAGCGATCTACCTTAAACGAAAAAAGTTACATGTGAACTAAGCTATCTTACTGCAGTTGCACTACAATTAACTAATGCACAGTTAGCAGACCTGAGGTTTCACAGTGTCTTTCTTTACGGCATTCTTATTCAACCACTTGACATCAATCTCACAATCGAAGTGTCCAACGTTGCACACAATAGCATCGTTGGGCAGCATTTCCATATGTCGACCGAGTACAATATCCTTGCACCCAGTAGTAGTGACAACGATATTGGCCTTCGAAGCAGCCTCGTCCAAAGTGGTTACCTCATAACCTAAATATGGACCCTTATAAATCCGTATCTGGATTAATGATTCGTAAATAATGTTCGTGCAGTATTACTATGCATGCGATCGAACTAACCTTCCATGGCTGCTTGCAGAGCGTTAATAGGGTCAATTTCGGTGACAATAACACGTGATCCGAAAGCCCTCAGTGAAGCCGCTGATCCCTTCCCGACATCACCGTATCCGCAAACAACAGATACCTATAGAAAATATTTTACCTAATAGAAAAAAACGGAGGAACTGAAACATCTATACCACATGAATAAAGAGGAGTGGAAAAGGATGAAATATGGACAAAAAAAGAACAACTACCTTTCCAGCCAGCATTACGTCGGTGGCGCGTTTGATGCCATCAGGGAGCGACTCACGAATTCCGTAAAGGTTGTCAAACTTAGACTTGGTCACTGAGTCATTTACATTAATAGCGGGGATCTGAAATGAATAGTGTGTGGCTAACGGAAGCAAATTAAGTACAACCACATATATGTGTGCATATGCATACATATACATATATATATATATATATATATATGTAAAAGGATAAAAAACAAAGGATAAAGCTCACGGTGTTGATCAATCCCTGAAGGATGCGCCATGAATTCGACTTCATTAAGCGTCCTTTGGAGGTGATTGAATGCATATCTTTACAATGACTCGCGGTGGCCTTCCGATGTATCGAGTCAGTGCTGCCATCCTCCCAGACAAGGCTGGTATCAATGTGCTGACCCCAGAGGGATCGAGGGCTTGATGGATCGATCCCATGTGTGTGTTGCAGGGCGGCTGCTACCACTAGGCCACACGCGCCATATATTCGTGTATATTAAAAACGATATACACACGACAGTATAGCATTCGAGAGTTTTTATTTGAATGCGAAACTGGTGAAAGCTTCAGACCCACGTTAATACAAAGCACTACTTACGTGAAGCCACCCTCAAGTAATCTTCGACAACCCGGTACAAAACCATAACAAACCTTGAGTTCATCTTTGTCAAGCATTTTTGCGAGATTGTGCACTCCAGTGGTGGTTTCTTCAGACAGCCCGTATATTCCTGAGAGGTATTGCGGATACCTCTTATGGACGATGTTGGTGAGATCACCTCCATCGTCGAGAATCATGTTAAGAGGTCGGCCACCAGAAAACACAAGTGTCTGAAAAATTTAACTAACCTCCTTAAAGAAGTGAAGTTCGACTCAACGATTAGCCCTGATTTTTTTTATACTTCTTAACACAGTCATAAAGCGGAAAACAGCGTCTTTTTATACCTGCTCGATGCACCACTCGTACTCTTCATCGGTTTCTCCTTTCCAAGCGTACACTGGAACTCCAGCAGCAGCGATAGCGGCTGCAGCATGGTCTTGAGTAGAAAAAATGTTACACGACGACCACTGGACCTGAAACCAAGACGACGTTCCAATATAAAATTAAACCACTAGCAGTTTACAATAAAAACTCCTACATTTGCACTTCCGGGTTTCCATAAGGAAGACCAGCTAAGAGTAAACCAAAACCAGAATGCACCACCGTGCTAGTATCAAACTAGTCGCATGGTGGTAAATCTCTCTCTGATCTACAAAGGGGGCGACTGTCTGTGGTGGTGACGACCTGGGGCAGACTTTGGCCAGGCTGAGTTCGGGACACCAGGCAAGCACAATAGCTAAACCAGCAAAACTCCGAAAAATGGAAAACATGTTGGCGTCCAACAGCCAGTAAGGACGGTCCATCCAAGTATCCAAGTATATCTGCACACCAATATAAGCGTTCACGCCATATTTTCTGGGAAACTCAGGAATTAAACTGCGCAATCGCTAGTCTCCCTAAGCTGTAAAGAATCACGTTTTTTGTTTTTGTCAGTATTGAGTCAATCTCGGATTTATGCAAAAGTCTTAAAGCAGTACGTTTTTAGATTCATAGAAGATCACACCGGACGGCAGCAATAGGTGAACATCCGTCCCTGTATAAAAGGGCAGCGCCGATTGAAGCTCCCTACTCGGGCAGTGCTCCCTTCACTGGATTCGATTCGCGATCAGCTTGGGACCGTCAACTCTAACCAAAGTGGCTCTTAAGAAGGCGAAAGCGCAGAAAAAACCGTGAGTAGTAAGCAAATGGACATCTTTGTTTCTTTCTTCTTACGTTATGGTGTTCTACAATCTTGAGTTAGTTCCACGAGTCTTTGACTCCTGGTTACCACCAAATGCACACTTGATTAAAAAAGGCATTGAAGTTGGAAAAAAAAAGTCACAAGTAAAAAGGCAGCTGAAATATACATCGACTTTTATAGAAGAGCAGCTCACCTCAGCTCCAAGTTCTACGAGAGTTTCGATAAGGACCGCTGTCTGAATGGTCATGTGGAGGCATCCCGCGATTCGGGCACCTTTCAACGGCTTCGTTGGCCCGTACTTGGCACGCATCGCTATCAAACCGGGCATTTCATTTTCAGCGATAACGATCTCCTAGAACAACGATGCTAACAATTCACTTAGGAACTAGTATGGCATTCGTTGGAGAAGATGAGCCACATAAACATGACAGCAGATCACTTTAATAATAATACAACGTCTTATTTTCATGAAGAACCTTTAGCTGTTGACTGAATTTTTCGTGAACGCTGAAAGAACAGGTGTAAAAGGCACCGAGTGGCTTGAGACAAACCCTCAAGGTGATTAAATCCCTAATTTGTAAACAATACATGCATAAAGTAGTAAAAATACCTTACGGCCAAAACTGGCGAGACCGATATCAGCGACTTTGTAAGCCGGTTTCGACGCAGTCATTTTGTCGTTTATTACCTTAAAACGAAAAGTTTAAGTAGCAAATGTTCTATCTAATTGGTGGAAGCCAAAAAGAAGACTATATAGCAGCAGATAAAAGCGACATAAGGCAAAAAACTGAACAAACAACAAGGAACAATCGAACACGCATGTGAGACAAGGAGAGAGCGCTCATCAAAGAATTCGTGTGGAAACAGTAAATGCGGGCTACACTAGCGAACTTCTTCGGACTAAATTGGCCTAAAACGTCTAATTCACGTGGATGTAGGCCTTGAGTGGATGATATGCAGCGAATGATAACAACTGCGGTACTGGGAACTCACTACTACGCTACGGGAAGGTAGGATCGATTGTTTCCAGGCATATCGTCGTTCTAAAGAGCGATCTGAACAAGTTGTTTTGTAAGTGATCACGATCACGTCCGCAGCAAGAACGCTTAGTGGTAGATAGAAGACGGCAAACTCCAGTTTTCCAGATGTCGAATAGCGAGAAGCTTCCTGGAAGACTGCATGAGCTGACGTGGGGGTCAGGATGAGTCACGTCGTGGTGCGTCCACGGATCCCCCGACACCAGTGCTTGGCGACGCACCGGAAGGACCAGGATAGAAGAGAAGTACGAGGGAGAGCTGATGAACGAGCTTCCGAGGGATTCGTCGTTTCATCGTGGCTGTCTCTCAGATGTTGGTCACACGAAGAAAGTAATTTGTTTTCCCTTTTATTTCTCAAAAAAAGGTACCAAAACGGCTCTTGAAGCATAACTCAGTACTTCAATCATTTATCACTACAAGTTCACAGGATTATACCCGTAGCTAAACAGAATGTCATTCGGTAGACACAAGTAAAAACGCTACCACCAGTGATTTATCGATTCATGGTGGCTGAAGAGTGCTGAACTACAAAGAACATTGGGAGGTCTTCATCACACAGAAGTGCCAGCCAAGTTAAGAAGAAGTTCGATATTTGCAGAAACCCGACCAGGAGTACACCAATGAAGAGACATGCCGCCGTCCTAATGACTTCTGGGGATGCATTAGAATGACTACCTGGAGACTGCAGGTAGCGCGATTGTCGCTGGGCATGTAAAGTCAGGTGGAAAGGGCAAGGTCCGCATGATACTTCGTAGAAACGGGACCGTTCAAGTCCAAACATCTGCAAACTAAGACGTTCATATCAATTCCATAAGAGCCACTAAATAAGCAAGCAACTAAAGATGTTAACAAGATGAGAACATACAGCGAAATAAATGAAACTACTTATGTAAGTACATGCATAGAGGTGCGCCATAAACACAGAAGGTTTGGAGTCTGCTGAGGGAATGATCTTATTCATCCGGAAGAAGAGAAGACCCCGTGAAACGCCCCTGTGTGCAGACAACGTCTTCACCGCTCTCCTACAAGAAGTCTTCAAGAAACTAACTTTTAAAACAGATCTGTGAAGGAAATTATTTCCAGACGACCTCATTACTCTGCCTTCATAGAAGAATGTATAATCTCGTTCAACTCAACAGGTACGGTCCTGCAGGAGTGCAAATGCCATAGATGTTATTCTACTCAAATTTCTACAACGAACGATAGGTTTGTAGAAAGTCGGTTTTTTTAGTCATTAAGAGTTATGATTGTTCCTACATTTCTATTTGCTTTGGGAATTGGACCCTGTGTAAACAAAACAGAAGATCGATCCGCGTTATCAGACGCACTATGTAGGGGGTCATGCTCACAGCCTCTCGTGTCAAGCATCTTGAGTGACGGAATTCGATGTTCCGAGCTGGCGCACAACAGCTATCAGCGTCTGGGTTCACCAGAATGTCGAGTGCACAATAGGGCGCACAAGCCGCTGACCAGATGCTCAGGCTCATTTACGAAAACTCTGGGAAAAATACAATGTTCTTTGAGTCTGTCTAACGGACATGACCCATTGAATCAGTACGGCTTACGGTGATGGGAATACGGATTCTGCTGTCACTGGCTCCAATCACCCGATGCTCGACGAGGACAGGTGTTGCAGGTGATGATGCTCAATGAATGCTATTAACGGGAAAGTAGCAACACGAGTATAACCAGTTCTTTATAGCTTTCTAGTACTCCTATGATTTTGCTGCAACTAACAATTGAGCGTGGTTACTCTATTGGAGAATAAATTCATACATAAGTAATCTGATCCAATCGAATACGTACGCTATTCTGATGGGCAAACACCTGTGGGTGCTCTTCTATAACCGAACACGGATGTTTTACGGGAGTACAGACGTAGATCAGGATACTCTGTTTCCTCCATATAACTCCTCAAATGCATTAATTTCTTCCATGATAACGTAACGCCTCAGGTACACGAATGATTTTGTAGAAAGATCTTGGTGAGGAGGTGGTGGACCAAACTCAGCGACCAAATAAGGCATCAGTTATCAAAATTGTTTCAGTCCACATGTAGGAAGGTAGCGTCCTCCGCTGATTAGAGACCTTTCCTTTGATTGTGATAAGCTCTCAGATGGGTTGTGTGGAATGCGTGAAATTCGTGCCTTCCAATTCGAATGAAGCTGGATGTGATGTTTCTTGGTCTGGAGTGCGTCTCTCTTGATGTTCTTGATTGACTCTCTCACGATAAGAATCCAAAGAATTTTCTTCTCCAGTGGGGAATTTTGTGTTCGGAATGGCGGTTATGCAGGAGGAAATATTCTAATAGGAACTTTCCGCCATAAATTTCATTTAACGGCGAGGCCTATGGTAACCCCACTTCCCTTTATCTGAGCTCACATTATATTCGTTACGGTCTCGATGAGATTTCTTTATATTGGTTCGTTTTTCAGCTGACTGTAACAGATTTCTGTTAATGTTAACGAGTGTTCCTGTAGAGATTTGAAGTTGACATTTCTAGCATTCATGTCAAGGGTGTTGGGATCAAGTATATCGGCTTCATGTATTTTTCATTGACGATCTGACATGAGGTTGATTCAACCATGATTAAAAACCAATACTGCCGAGTGAGGTTACTTCCTTTGAGCGTTGCTTCACTCAAGAAGATTTGACTCGGACAACTACAAGGACCCTCAACGTGAGGACGAACGGCTGTGGACCATCGACTGGGATCATCGGCTCTGAAGAAGACAAAGACGTCGAAACGTTAGCCGATTGTAAGTTTTTATCAACCTCGTGTTAGTTTATGAATGAGAAATGCATGTTAATTAGCCATGCCAAAGTTGAAGAAAATTCGGTTTTTGAAATACATCGGCTTCAGTTTCACTCACTTTTAAAATAACTTCTTGTCCATGTCGTAGTACTTGGTCGGGTCATCGAGTTCTAGCCAGTTATCTAGGGAAAGGAATCCATCTAAGAGTGTTCCCGTCATCCATGACTTATCACTTCGTTCTTATGCGATGGCAAGGATTTTAAAAAGGGATAAAAATTTCCTAGGATGTTGTTGAATTAAATCTCCCAATGGAGATGAGTATCATCAGATCCAGAAAATAGCCCAAATAGCCCTGTGGTAATCTCAAGAAGAAACCACGTTCTATTCTTCAGGATCTAATCCATCTTTGCGTTGACCTTGAAAATACTGGCTATATTTTCTTCCCGAAAAATGGAATCCTTTTTAAGAGAAATATTTTACGGAACGGTAAGTGAAATAATTCGTCCCGTGCTTTTTCCACAGGAATCTCCTGAGTACAACGTGACCTCGGACTTGGGTAAATCAATCATTATATACACAATACGTCTTATTGTAGATGTAACGAGAAATGATCACGGATGACAGAGTAATTAGAAATGCTATATAATGCACAAAACGTTGGCTCGATTCCGCACAAGCACCTTTTGCAAAAGTTCCGGGAAAGCCGACTCTTTGCTAGTTGGCTAGTGGATTAAGTAGTTGGTCAGATTTATCTTTTGTCCGCCAACTGTACATGGAATGCTGGACTTTATATGAATTCGCTACGCAGGACTTTTCTCCGTAACTGCCTTGAACAACCACGAGTTTGGGTTATAACAGTTTATAGCAACAACAACGATACAATACTAATGTGTGATATTTGACGATATGCAAGATGGGTGGATACGAGTGAAACTGAAATGCGAACAAGTGATACACTTGAAGGAAGCTAGGCGGACACTGGAGTTGGAGCACTGAGGAATTGAGAGACTGGAAGATAAGCACTAGGGGTTGGAGCCCATGCATTGGTAGATTGGAAGACAGATACTAGTCTCTATGACTGCTGGTGCTCCTTATATTCTGTCTGTAATGGGTGGAGTTTTACAGAGGAAGTCAGAGATAGTGCTGATTCAGGGCATGGCACGGTACATGCGGAGCAGTACATCAAATGATACGGTATGCCAGAAACTTCGTCAACATAGAACTGATCAGATAGTGAAGGAATAGCTCGTAGAGAATGGTTATCTGAAAGGCTACGGAAAGGCTTATCAAAAGCTCATGTGGGAGAGATGGAATAGCTTGTACAACGGCTTACACAGAAAGTGCATCGGAACTGCCGATTTCTTGAAAGTACAAGTAGCTGGCGGCGGCTTATTCAGCGTCCGAATCAACGGACGAAGAAGAGTGGAGATACAAAGAAGTTGCAGTATCTCTTTCTAGCTCAACTGCGAAGCAAATGTTTGAAATGGTAGTTGAGAGACAATTAACAGAATATACGAGAATAGATGTATAACGATTACAAGTAAAACAGTTATCGTAGAAGACATAAGGTAACATAGGAGTAGGAACTATTTAGGGAATAGTTGCTACAGACTCCATCACCCCTTCTGTACCCATGAAGTGATGCGAGAAGAGATAGACACTGTCCGGAAGGATGGAAACACCAACTTGATAGATCGGTAGGGCACCAGAGGTCATTTTCTATGCCAGATGTTCATTAAATCATATTTATGATGCTGCGAATGGAGTTGAACACACGGCGCATTCCCAAGTGGTTGAGCAATAGCGAACGCTTTATCTTTTATGGGCAATAAGTGAATAGACAGATAACTGATAGCTTTACAGAGGTCATATGAAGACAGA